CACACACACACACACACACACACACACACACACACACACACACACACGCACACATCCCTCTCTTCACCTACACACACACCACCACCACCACCACAACGACCACAGACATACTTTAGACACCTGCTGCAGCTGCCAGTGAGGATCTACTGGATAAAGGCCCGCTGTTTGTGGAGGTTATCACATTTATTTAGGGTTTGGGGAATTTTCCAAGACAACTTGCTGAAGACTAAAGTCTGTGATAGCTCCTCAGTTTATACCCTTGAATTTTAAGTTTTGATGTTCACAAAGATAGTAATTCTGTAATTTACGGTAGATAAAACTGTAGGTTTCCTGTAAGAAAATGTCTCTTTGTGCTCCCACATGAAGGATATGGTTGTGAACTTGTAAACTGTCTGTTGACTGCTACTGTGTATTTAATGACCGAGGGCTATCTTAGACCATTTATGATTTTCCCCTGCTACACATCTTCCTAATGACAAAAAGACAAAAAAAGTAGTATGATAAAGTATGTAGTAAATATGAAGCAATGTTGTCTTGATAAGCAGAATGGAGACTGAAATTAATTTGGAAAAAGTTACATGAAGGAAAAGTCAACATCCTCTCTGCAGTTTTCTGCATCTCTAGAAGCATGCTTGAGTTACAGGAAAGGTGGAGGAGGGCGGACGACTGGAGCTTTCTCTATGCAAACTACTGCAGCTCTTTATCTCCAGTCATCTCCTTTCAGCTGTTTTTCTCTTTATTGGAGGAATATTGGAAGGACGGTGCACACCCATCACGATCTGATGCACATGTAGATATAAGTATATAAAACTGGATCATGGATACAGTAGTTCTCTGGGGTTGCCAGATCCACACTGAACCCCCAATTTGTCCCCTAAGGCCTGTGAACAAGCAAGGACGCCTGAGCCCTTGAACGCAACAGTAGCAATCGTGAAACGAACTGATGAATTTCTCTTTTGACGGTGATGCAAAAAGTTTGATGTGTAATTATGAACCAGAAAGCAATGAATGCTCACCTCCTGATCCCATTGTGTTCTTGATGAAAAAGAGATGCTCCCTAGGATTTCAACATGATGCATTTGATTGAGGGAGCATGATTTACTAGTTTGTGCTATTTTGTCTACGCACTCCTCCTATACTCCCGTACTACTCTCATGTTGAATCTTTGAAATGCAAATAATCAAGTTATTTATTTTCATGTTTTTGTTTTCATATTGTGAGGAAGTTAGAATACACATTTATGTGATTGAAAACTGTTTCACAATGCTCATTTTCTACATAACACTTACCCAGCATTGCGTGTCATACATTATAATATTTCTTGTGATATTTGTATTTATATTTATCTCTACTGCAAGAATCAGTGAGGCTGAATGAGCAATGCAAGAAACCTTGAGGACTTGCATGGTGTGATAACGTTGGGTGATTTTGCAAGATTTTCTGACAGGCCTAGTGTTATCATTCAAGCATTAAACAACAGTGCATATAACATAATTATAATTCATTGATCAGCAGCTACCTCACTTATTTCTCAATTACTTTTTTTTAAGGTTAAGTAGATGCCAACTGCAGTGCCATTACACTATATATCTTAAAACTCCTTTAGACCATTTTACACCAGAATTGTTTTTTCTTCTTCTTCTCTGGATTAATTTAAAGGGGCAAATAAATGTACAGAGGACGGGTAAAATGAAAGTTCATCACTAAAGGTTGAAAGGTTTGATTTTCGGAAAACTTGTGAAATCTGGTCAGAAATGTCTAGAATCTCTGATTCAGTGAAATAGAAGCAGTGTTTCTCCATGTTGTTGTTCACAACCACAATAAAGGATACATAGTCATCATTCATTTATTTAGGCATTGTATTAACTAGCTATTTTATTACCTACTTAACCCGTTATCTTTGAAAAAAGAGAAAAAAGATTTTTAGAAATATGGTTAAAACAGATATTGTACCTGACAAATACAGAAACAGTAATATTTGACAGTGTTAACTTTTGAATTAAAGATTTGTAACTGCTTGAAATGCCTATTTGTGTGATGATTGACAATACTATATACACACACACACACACACACACACACACACACACACACACAGTATGCCTATTCAATTATTATTAATTCAATAAAACATTTGTACCTTTCTCTCTCTTATATAGGAGAGACTGAACATACGTCAAACATAAATGTTTTGTTTATGTGCATACAGTATGTACATACACCTACATGGCAGAGCTGAAATATAAATCATTGTCCAGTGTGAGCCGGACGCTCTGCAGCAGTACTGCGCATGCGTGTAATTACGCTAACATTCGAAACCGGAAGGTATGTCACTAAACTCCCTTGTGATTCATCTTCTTAAACATATACGATCTTCGCTGCAACTCCTCTGACAGCTAGCAAGTGAGCAACTCCTTTACGCTCTCAACAAGTAAGTTGACAGCTCTTTTTCCTCAACGTACGTGTTGGTTTCAGTGTCACGTTTACACGCAGTGAGAATAGAAACGTTGTTTTCCTTCTCTTTTCTCGTCCTTCTTCCTCCGGAGTCGGGCGGGGTGTCGCTGAGTGAGCTCGCTCCTCCAGATAGTGGTCCAACTGTTTTGGACTTCGAGCTGGTTAGCGTTAGCCAAACTTAGCTTTAGCTCGCAGGTCTAGCCTGGCACACACAGGTACGTCCTCTTTAGCCTGCTTTCACCTGTTCTGGTAGCGAGCTCCTTGTCTACAGACCTACTTGTGTCAAATGTTATTCTATTCATGTTGTTATGAAATGGCTGTGGTGACTGCACGGATGAGTTAGCTTGCCACCAGCTAATTCTGCCTTGAGTGTCGATGTTGTTTGTATTAACAAACGCGAGCTGCTGTGAGATGAGTCTGTCAATATGTCAAGTACCTTTGTCATTTTTATTTGCCCTTCCTAAACGTGCGTGTTGATAGAGGGAAGCTGCCATGTTATGCCTGCTGATGATGCTGTGAGAGACTGTGATGTGCTCCATCCAGGCCTGCAGCAATAACAGTGTACTGCAGAAATGAGTGAGAAAAGACCCCACAGGCACTATACACAAACACTGACAACTGTCTCCTCAGCTGCATAAAAAGAGCATAAACATTTAAATTTATTATTGGTCATTAGGTGACTATTTTTGTGGAAATGAACCATTTATACACAGAATTTGTGTTTACTTCAGAAAGGGCTCATAAGGCTTTTGTTTGACATATTCCACTCAGTTGAGTTTTAGTCGACTGTAGGGCTTACAGGTGTGTAGTAGAACATCTGTCAACTCACTGCGGCTGCTGTCATTTTGTCCAAGTATTTGTTCTCCAGGATTTGTCTCTGGGTGACTTGAGAAAACTGGGACTTAAACATCCGCAAGACATAACTGAAGCAGGACCAGGAGATATCAACACAAATATCAATGTGTTTCATCCGGAGCTTCGAAATGACAATAATAAGTTTGTTAGAAGTTAATTTAGCCCCATAAGAGGAGAGTTACTCCAAACTATATTACACTACACTACACCATATTATTTTGTTATAATAAAGTCCCACATTGTTTATAGGGTTTAGTAACATATTTTCTTACTTTGAACAACATCAGGGTCTGCCCGTTAAGTTGAGTTTCACTTTGAGCCCTTTTGCAAGTGCAGCTATGAAGTAATCGGGAGTTGGACTTGGTTTTGAATTGCTCAAGCTGCTTCGGTTGATATAAGCAACATTTTAAAATGATGTAGAGCTAAGACAAGTTGATTATGCACATGTATTTTGAGAATCAACTAATCATTTAAGTTCAAGAAAAAGCAATTGCTTTTTTCAGCCCTTGACCAGCAGTCTCTTGAACAGCAGTAGATTGTGGATGTTTGAACAAACTGGAATAAACAGGTAGTCTGATACGGGCCAGGCTTTAGCATTAGCACTCAACCAACGTGGCCTTTTGTTGTGTGTCTTAATGGAGCGGTGTTTCTTTGTCATGTAGGAACTAGTTTATTCTGAAGTAGCCTTTGCCAGCCAGCCAGAGAACTAACCAGTATAGCAGGAATTGGTGACCTTACATTTCACCTTGATGAATTAGGATTGTCTTCATTACGTAATCTATTCATAGTCTTGTATGCAGTAGTACAGGTTGTCATAACATCGTACTTCAGTTAGAAACAGTGTACTTCAACGTGAAGTGATTTCAATGACGCGTGTAAAGTGTTGCTGAAAACAGACGCACTCTTATGTTCACCAACAAGCCTCAAAGCAGGTGTCAGTCCCGGTTATAAAGGAGAATGAACGGTTCCTCTCTGTGGGGCTTTGTGGAGAGTCACCTGGCTCAATCGTGTTCATGTTACGACTGACTGAGGTTACTTGTAACAAGTTGTGCGATGGATGCTTTTGCACAGAAAGGTTCCCAGGAACATTAATATGTCCCGATGATGTGAGGAAATAAAGAAAGATTGCACAAACGTAAAGATATTAAAGTAATACTGTCCTAAAAAGGCTACCCGTAGAAAAGGTTTACCACACTGCAATGGCAGGGCTGCTCGCTTCGGTTATTTTCCATTATCATTCCGAGGTAGAAAAGATGCAGTCAGCAGGTTGGGCAGTCTTGGCTTTGTATTTCTCACTCGAAGGTCAGCAGTCATATATAGATGGAGTTAGATTGAGACACAAGTCAGGCATGTAGCCACGATTATCTACAACCATAAGAGACGCCAAGTCGGATGACGGTAGTCAAAGGGAAAAGCTGCGATTTTGTGTTTCAGTATTCATACGTGTCTGTTAACATCTGTAACAAAACAGCGAGAACCATAGAAACACACATACACGCCCTCAAAGATGTAATGTGTACGCTTAGCCCTGGCCTTGTGGGCCTGTCCTCACCACAGGCCACTCACAGTTTCCATACAGCCAGTGGTTATGTAGCTATCAGCTATGACTGTACCGGAGGAGCAGGCCGGTAATGACTGGGTGCAAACTAGCTCCTGAGTTTACAGTTCGAGTTAC